GTCTCCTGATCTGGTGAGTGAGTTGCTATTACATAAACATGTTTGATGCCTCATTTGCATTTAAATTACATTTCTGAATTAAAATGGATTTTTGAGTGGCATGTTTTACATGTTGAAACCCAGATGTTTTATGTGCAAAACATTCTTTGACTCTTAATTCATAATTTCACTATAGGCAACCAGGGATTGGAGTGCCATGAAAGTATTTGCCCTCTTTTCTGATTATCTGGGGGTTTTTTGTTTTGTTTTTTCCATATTTGACACACTTCAGGTGCCTGAACTTTAAATGCTGCTCCAATCTGCTTCTTCAAATGAAAAATGGATTAACCATTTATTACCGCTGTATGGAAAAATTGTGCAAACTCTTTGTACAGTCACCATCAACCAACCACAGACCCTTAACTGTGACTAGTAATTGGAGTGCTAGCATTCTGATAATATTGCAAGCAGTTTTGTATTTGTACATGATGTATTTGCACTAAAACATGACCCCTTTAAAGGATAAAGCAAGACTATTAGATCACTGGTATAGTGGGGTGATGCGTTCATGCTGGTACTCTGCATTGATGATATGATGGTTTTAACTTCCTGGGAAGCTTTGCTGAAACAGAATGGACATGATCCTGCTGAAACATTAAATCAAGTAAAAATTAAAGCCTCCTTGCCTACAAGTCACAGTACAAAAAAAGAGAAATTTAGTCAGAATGGAGATGGAGGCCATTGCCAGCTTGCACATAATCAGGACTGTAAGATGAAGAAAGGTGCTCACACAGATTTCTATAAATTTAAAAAGAGAAGTCATGCAAGAGGACACATATTTTCTTACTTGAACCCAGCCTCATGTGTGCTACATGTGGCAAAGTTCAAATTTGGACAAACTTGGAATCGGATCTTTAAAGGTTTTTCTGTTTGTTTGTTTGTCACTGGCAGATCATGTGCCGCTGTACGACTGCGCTGGAGAACTCTGTCAAGGAAAAGATCTCAATGTTCTGCCACGTGGAGCCTCAGCAGGTAGGTGAAGCACCTGTCAGGCTCGATTAAGCCATAAAGCTCTCTCCATAAACATCTAAAATGGATGACCTGTCTTCTTCCAGGTCATCTGTGTGCACGATGTGTCATCTATCTACAGAGTGCCATTACTGCTGGAAGATCAGGGTGTGGTGAGCTACTTGAGCAGGAGACTGAATATGCCAATAGAGACCAGACCAAGGAAGATGCTGACTAAATGGAAGGAGATGTCTGACAGGTGAGTGAGCACCTTTGTGGGTTGAACCTTTCCCATGAGAAGTCATTGTCCTCCAGAGAAGACCGAGAAATAAATGGATGCCCATATTTTTCCTCACAGGTCAGACAGACTGCTAGAGCACTGCTCTATCGCACTGGTGGGGAAGTACACAAAGTTCTCAGACTCCTATGCTTCTGTTATAAAGGCTCTCGAACACTCTGCACTCGCCATCAGCCACAAGTTGGAGGTTAAGGTATGTACACAGAATCATAGTCTTTAGCTCAAATGATGTAGACATGGTTCAAAGTGAAGCCAGCTCCTCCTAGATTTAGTGCTTCCTCATTGTATTCCATGGCTATGACAGTCTTTGCAGTACCCTGAAGTTTAAAGGTATTACGGCTCTAGAGTAGGGGAAAGTGTTGATAGTTATGATTAGTGATTAAATAGTTGATTTTAGTTTGGGGGTTTTTGTTTGGTTATGTTTGTTTTTGGGAGGGGGGGGGTGTTTTAAACAACTTGACTTGTGCCTTTAGACCAGTCATGTAAGCTGTGAACATCTCCTCTTCTCAGTATATAGACTCTGCTAATTTGGAGCCAAGCACTCTGCAGGAGGACCCAGTGAAATACCACGAGGCGTGGCAAAAACTCTGCAGCTCTGAGTGAGTGCCCTGTAGCAGCACAATGTCCTGTCTCACTAGATAATCTAGCCTGAATATTAAAATGGGACTTTTATCAACATGACAATGTTTCCACTGTCCTCAGTGGCATCCTGGTTCCTGGAGGTTTTGGTGTGAGGGGAACTGAAGGAAAGATTCATGCCATCAACTGGGCCAGGAAACAGCAAAAACCCTTCCTCGGTACAAGAGTTTCTGCGGATCACATTACATGTTTTATTATCTTACTCCATATTTAATGTCAGTAAGTAGCAGCATCAGAAACACTACTTGACTGGTGTTCATATTTCTGCAGGTGTGTGTCTTGGAATGCAGTTGGCTGTATGCGAGTTTGCCAGGAACGTGCTCGGCTGGACAGGTAATGTTTTTGATATTATCTTTACAGTAAAGAAGAAGAAACAAAGCAGGAAAACACTGCATTGTACTAAATGTTACATTACCTTTTAATGTGAATGCTGAGTGATGTAGGTAATTAATAAATGATTGAAATTTCATAGATGAAAAGTGTATATTGTTCCATGTATACAATAATTTTGGATGGATAGGTAATGAACATAGGATCTATATCTATGTTAGGTTTCATCATTAAGAATATTTGTGGGTACGTATAGGTAGATCCAAAGAGGACCATTATAATCTGATTGTGTATCCTTGTGTGTGGAGGAATAAAAAAGAACCACATTGCCTACTTCGTTTTTCAGTCAAAAGTCCCGATTTTCCTGCAATACCCTCGATCTCAATTGTTAAGGTTCGCCTGGAATTGGGGAAAAAAGAAATTTCTTGTCATACTATTTTTGTGGGAAATTGCAGCGCCAGTTGTGCCTGGAAATGTATTGGGGGGGGGGGAACAAGTACTTGTTTCTTTAGCAGCTTAACTAGCAAAGGTTCAGATGTCTGTTCCTGCTGTGCATCAGTCCAGTTCTTGTACTTTTAGTTTTGTAAAGGCGGTTCCTATAATACTTAAGCCTAGCCTTCTGATCTTCAAAAACGTTACTTCTAACTTCAATAAATTAATAAACTCACGCCATAAACACTGGTTCCAGCCAGTGTCCGCCTTCTTGTCAACTTTGCAGCAGCCGTAATGCTAATATTGAACCTTGAAAATACAGAAGATGGTCTGTCAAAACAACGTGTTTGATACAGCATAGTTATTTGAGAGAGGTGTGGGAATGGGAGGTTTCTTCAAAGCATAGTCAGTTTTCAGCTTGAAATGCCTCTCCTACTCACAAAAGGTGGGCACTGGTGGCTGACTGTTGATTAAAATAACTAATGGCATATTGTTCTGTTTCATACTTAGATGCCAACTCGACTGAATTTGACCCAGAAACAAAGCATCCTGTGGTAAGTTTTATGCATTGCACAAACAACCTGACTCCTGCATGCACTGTAACTGTATATTAAAATCCATCCTTTCATTTTAATCTTTGCAGGTGATTGATATGCCAGAACACAACCCCGGACAGATGGGTGGCACCATGAGGCTTGGGAAAAGACGGACCATTTTCAAAACCACCAACAGCACACTGCGTAAGAAAAGCTTTTAGTTCAACCTGGACCAGCCGGTGATGAACTGTTGCTCTGTGCTTACAGCTCTTCTGTATTCCAGGAAAGCTCTATGGAGATGCAGAGTATGTGGATGAAAGGCACAGACATCGATTTGAGGTAATGCTGAACTAATATTTCATCATCACTAAGTGTTCAGTGAAGAAACAGGAAATTGGATAGAGTTAGTGGGGGACAGACGTATAAGCAAAGGGCCGATCCAGGGTTGAACCCAAAGCGCCGCATTTAATCTTTTGGCATATGGTCACCTGCTCAACCTGTGATCCAAATGTATACCTTGTTTTTGTGAACAGGTCAACCCTGAGCTTAAGAGCCACTTTGATGAGAACGGCTTCCGCTTCGTAGGTCAGGATGTGGAAGGAGAGAGGATGGAGGTCATTGAGCTTGATGGTACAGAAAAGCAAACAGAATTATTTTCAGTTTTAATATATCAACCTTTTCTGTGAAACCTTCAACAGACTGTTTAAAATTGTTTTCTCCACTTCCAGATCATCCATATTTTGTTGGTGTGCAGTATCATCCCGAGTTCACTTCACGCCCCATCAAGCCATCACCCCCCTACCTTGGTTTGTTGCTTGCTGCTGCTGGAAAGCTGCAGAGCTACTTACAGAAAGGCTGCCGTCTATCTCCACGGTAAATAGAGTGTATGTCTCAGTTTACTCATGTTCTAAAGGTATGCATACTAATTGAGACTGCTTCTGTGCCACACAGGGACACATACAGCGATCGGAGCGGCAGCAGCACACCAGACTCTGAGATATCAGAACTGAAACTTCCTTCACTCTCCAATGAATGACCCATCTGTGGAAGATATTTTAACACATTTTTTAATTAAGTGTCCTACCATCAGTTGTCTCAAGTGTTGGAAAACTGTACTGTTCACACAGATAGGGCTGGCATTTCCTAGAGTAAAGAAGTGACTACAGGCAGCTGCAGATTAAGTTATGAGACTTTCAGCTCTAGAGTAAAGTACGCTCATGAAACAAACCACTGAAAACCATAGTGTTTAAATAAAATTTAAACTGTTAATATTCGTTTTTGCTCTTCCTATAAAGGTTACAGAACACAGAACTATGAATTTGAGTGGTTAATCAGTTGTCACTCATTTCTACAACAGCACTTTAGAAACTGGTTTAACATGGGAGTTACAGGTTTCCCGATTATCCATCTTTCAAGTTTAATTCACTTTAATGGATCATATCTGAAGTTTAGCTTAACGTCTTCACATTTATTACAACAGGTCAGCAATAATTGTGACTAGTCTATTTTGCTATTTGTACAGCTACAAGTCGAGAGGTCTCAAATTAGGTCACCTACTGCAGGCATACAACATGGCGTGTGATTAGTTTTCTACTCCAGCTTCCTCATTGACTTTCACAGGGTTTGTCACCTGTGGCATACTGTTGTAAAGAAACTTTTGTTTCTGATGCCACTCTACCACCACAGTACTGTTGTGGCCTTAATGTAAATAAATGTGCTACAAACGGTTTGTAGCATAGTTCAATGTTCAATGTTCTTTTGATCATGTTACAGACAAGTTTCCAGAGGTAGTCAAGTCAGTTTTATTACAATCTGCAATTGTCACACACAGGGTTCATTTTCTTAGGTTCAGCCCTTAACCTCCTAGGACCTGGCGTCCACATATGTGGAAGTCACATTTTGGCTTATTTAGACCAAAATACTCAATGTTGTGCTACAAGGACCTGATATCCACTTACGAGGACATTGTACTGCTACTGTTCTATTTAGATTTTATATAAATATCCTCATCTGTGGCTCTAATTTTTCTTGGAAACAAATTAGGTTTAAAAATAAAATAAAAAATCTGGCAATTCTTTGTTTTTACATTCATCAGGTCCCAATCAGCCCAAATATCAAAGAGAAATTAAAAATGCATGCCATGAAAAAGTTCAGGTCTTAGGAGGTTAAAGAGCCAGGTCAACTGATTCATGCATTTCACAGCTGCAAGAAAGCTCCGATCAAAGTTGTTTTCTTCAGTAGTGTTTGTACCTAGCCGGAAAGTTGGCAGCAATTCTGTCATGGAAATGTCACGACACTCCCAACGTAGCACCATACCTGAAAAATAAACACCTCAGGTTAGCCAAATTCAGAAACTTCCTGTAAACATTCTCATTATGCACTGATCTCAGTCCCATATCCGCAAGCTTCATCCAGAAGTCAACAATGTATTAAGGTCATCATAGATCAAAATAACCACTGACCAATTTCAGCATCAACATACCTGAAAATTACAGATGTGAATGCACTTCGTTACAGCTCTGCAACACCAAGAGGTCAAGCGGATAGACGCCTAAAGTTCAATAAAAAAAAAAAAAAAAAAAAAGTGAGATCACAAGTTGCATGTTAGCTTAGTCTATTTTTCTAGCAGATGTCTGTAGGACAGCTGAGTGGCTGCTGATGGCACAGAGTGGCCACAGCAGTCAAAGACCACCCTGTTTTCTTGCATGCACTTGGAGAGCATGGCACTACAAACAAGTGCCGACCCTTAGGATAGCATGCTGGAACAGGGACATAAGTGGCCTTTTTTAAAAAAAAAAATAAAAAAAAAATACAAAAAATATAAGTAAAAGGTGAACTCTTACCTGAATGAGCAGTTTTCATTTACAAACGACAGGTCTCCATTCACCTAACAAGAAAATTTGGTCAGTCGTTTTGCCCCCAACAAACATTGATTAAAGTCAGTCAATCCCATCAAGTTTTAATAAATGTGGCTCAGGAAGAATAAGTCTCAATCAAGACTAGATCAGTGAGGGCAAGTTTGTCATCACAGCCAGGATTGTCTGAAATATTTTGAAGAGTTACCTGCATGTTGTGTTCTCATTTGATGGTTTTGGCCTTGCACCTTTGGTGTCGCCCAGTACCTGTTGGAAGACAAGGCAAATCACTTACATTTCTTTGAAAGTTTGCATTTAATCCTGGGATAAGTCACTGATCAATGTCCTTCCCCTAAATGTTGCTGTAGCAGTCATTTTCAAAACCGAACAGCGACCGTCGGTGAAAGTCTTCATGTCGGCTTCCTTTTGACCGTTCACTGCTACATGGGAGCATGAACGGCTTCGATAGGAGCCTTTTCACGATGGGACAACTAGTTTTAATTTAAAGACTCACTTGCATTCTGCATATTGGGAAACAAGGTTGAACTGCCATTTCAAATAGACCCTAGAGACAAAATAAAGAAGATTAAAGATTAGTTGTGTTGAAAACAGTTGCCTGTGCCATCACCTTTCATAACAAACTGCATCTAGTCTAATTTTGATTCTAAGGGTAGTTTAAGTTTGTTACAATGACATCAATGTTATTAACATCAGAGGCCTTAAAGGCTAATGTTTATTAAAATAAGCTAGCATTAACATGTTGAGCCAAACTACAATTATTAAACAAATTCTAAAACAATATATTGCATAATGACATATATAATACATAAGTATGTAACAACTGCATGCGTTTAAATAAATGGCTTTGATTTTACCACCTAACCTGATTTCCATGCCACCCTAAGAAAATTTCTCAAGATCCACCCCTGGCCACGTGGTACAAACCCATTAGCGTCCAAGCTAAGCTATCAGCAAGCTAAGCTATAGCTAACCCTTAGCATGGCCACTAAAGCCTAGGTACGTCTACTGTCGACTTCCCAGTTATATGACAAGTCAGCAAGAAGTGTTGATTATAAAAACAAGACTATACTACATATCCCAAAGTATTAACTACTCAAGCATTATGGCTGTAGATACAAGCTAACGTAAGGTCGTTCACTCACTTACGCTAAAAGCGCTATATTAATGTTATAACCAAATAATGAGTTCTCTGTCGAGATGGACTGGATTTAAAAGCTGCGCATAATTAATGTAAATACCTGGACACATAACCTTAATAATCGACAACACCAGCATAACGCTTACCATAGCTCTTTCTTGGGGACTTCCGCTCGCATGGAAGACTACAGGAGGAAGAGAGAAAGCAGCAAGGCCCGCTGTTCTTATATACTCACTCTGATGTCTGGCGGCGGTGCGCTGATTGGCTCGCATTACTCACGCGGACCGGTTGAATAGTGGGATATGTAGTATCACACTCCCCCTCCTTCTTCTTTTTTTTTTTAAGCAACGCCTGCTATATTTATTGAAGTTTACTGAGACTCAGGCAATAGAGTTTCACACTTAACTAGCCACGCATTTTTCGCAGAGTACAACGGCACAGAATAAACTGTGTGCAATTAGAGAAATATGCTGTAAATCCAGACCATCGTCGGAAGTGAATATAGGCTACTTCAGAACCACGGACAGCAACACACTGCGGGTTTTAGGTTTTGTGATATCAATAGTGGACGATATATTAAATAAATGGGGGTGGTTAAGGAAACTGTGCAAAACATGCCCAAGACGGACCTCATATAGATATATTGTTCTGTTTTTGCTGCTTTTAAACCCCTATAAGATTATTTTACAACATACACAGGCCAGATGAGGTTGTAGTGGGTTTATTGGAGTGATATTCGACTAGTAGAGCATAGGTCTATCACATGATTGCTGCTGCCGCTCTGTGCTCCGCGTCTCTTCCTGAACAGAAGGCAGTAGCAGCAACTGGGGCTCCATGTAAACACGCCGCGCGCAGGGCTTTGTTTCACACACACTCACTCCGCAGGTATCTTCCCTCTAGTCATGCCATGGATATTTTGTGGCAATATCAGTTTCGAATCATTCTACTCGGGGATTCCACAGTGGGCAAGTCCTCGCTGTTGAAGCGTTTCACGGATGGAATTTACAGCGATGTGGCGGACCCGACGGTCGGGGTAGATTTTTATGCCCGCTCGCTTGACATCGAACCCGGGGTGAAAATAAAGCTCCAGCTCTGGGATACGGCTGGCCAGGAACGATTCAGGTATAGTGAGGTGAAATGTATCTTAAATAGAATATATCTGAGCTAAATATGTATACAGCCATAGTCCTTCAAAGAGATTTTTAAATAAATAATTGAGCCCTCGGTTTAATGTCGTGTTTGGCTACTATTCTCAGTCCCTTTAAATTGAATATGGGCCATTTTCCCGTCTCGTTAGCATGTAATGAAATGAGTTTAGACAGCGGAGAAAGGAGGCCAATAGAAGATATTACGATGTCCTGACCTGTATAACAACAGGACACGGCGACTTACATCATGCTTTCATGGATGATGGGCAGCCTCCTCATATTTAGGCCCCAGTTTGATTCCCTCATATACAATTTCCAGGCCTTCGCGGGGATGACAAGTCCCGATCCAAATCTATTTGTTGTTGTTTTCATTGATCTATCCTGTTGCTTGCTCTGCTTTTCATGCCCACTGTCACGGATCATTTCCTTTAAAGAACTCCTGTGTCTGGAGAAGCTCTTAGATCTGCTTTCCCTTTTGAAGCCTCTGAGGGTGTTTTCCTCCAGGCTTCACTTCACTTGTCTTTCACTTCTGCCTATCTGGCTGTAGAATCTGTGGTTTTTAAAGCATCAAATGCAGAGATCAGAGTCTGTATGTGCATATATTTTTCATAAATAGAATAATATCATGCACCAGATGTTATGAACCAAAGGATCCTTTGTGTTTTTGTATTTTATTTCACTTGATGGTATTGTTTAGTTTCCATTTAATTAAGCACATTCATGTATGAAACGTTAAAAATAAGCATTCACATTGCAAGTTTTGACTTCATAAAATTACAGAAATTGTTTTAAGAAGCCAAGAGAGACAGACCTTCCATAGCAATATGACTTGTATATATTTATTAGACCTGTACATTTCACGGACTTTGACCACAAAAAAGTCCCAAATGTTGGGTGAGGTCCAAATTTATTATCAAATTATGCATTATGCCACTCAGTGATATATTACCATCATAAATGAGGTCCTGACACAATTCACTTAAGTACACAATTTACACAATTTATTAAGTATTCTTCAGTTTTAACATATTTAACTCCCCTCATATTGAGCACACTGTCTCAATAAGTAGTTTCATCTGAATGAAAGCACAGATGTAACTCCATGAGTCTTACTAATGTAAAACACCAGTAACACAGCTTTGAAAGGAAATTCTTGTGTCATTTAAGTGGTTAGCTTGCAAATAGACAGTTGAAAGACTTAAAAGAGAGCATGCAACCACATTCCTTGACTGACTTGGAAAACAGTCTGTGAAAATTGATTTGGGATTGTGTCAAATGGGACTTGATCTTATCTTAGTTTCTGCTGTCTTGACATTTGAGCTTCACTTTGGCTATAATATTTAAGTTTGTTTTCTATAAACCGATTAACGGGAACTATGACTACTTTTCTATTGTAACTGAGCACTCAAAGCGCTTTTTTATACATGTCCCATTCACCTACACACACTCACACACCGAAAAACGCATCAGGCAAGTTGGGTACAGTATCTTGCTCAGCAATACTTTGACATGGAGACTGGAATACCTGCTCCACCTCCTGAGCTACAGCCACCCCTTTTCTTCAAAGACTTGATTTGACTCAGGGTTTGACTTGACTTGCTTTGGCAATTCTTAAGAGAGGACTTGGACTTACCTCAAGTGATATGAATTTTCCACCACAAAAATGAAACTCATATTGTGATGTTACAAACAGCAGTATAAGGGCAGTAAACTGGTAGGAACCATCCAAGTTCATAGAGCTGTCCAAGACATTTAGAAGTTATAAGTCTAGAGATGTTTGTCTTTGGTTTCTAACACCAGAAATGTGTCTTTCCACCAGGTCTATCACAACATCATATTACCGCAACTCTGTAGGTGGCCTGCTTGTCTTTGATCTCACCAATCGTAAAACCTTCGACCATGTGAGGGAATGGCACAAGGAGGTGAGTGAGCACATCCTGCCTCACCACATGGTCTACATCCTCATCGGCCATAAAAGTGATCTCAACAAGGACCGGAAAGTAAGCAGGGATGAGGCAGAGCAGCTGGCCGCTGAGCTGGGCATTCGCTATGTGGAGACATCGGCCAAGTGCAACAGCAATGTGGACCGGGCCTTTGAGCTGCTGACCAGGGACATCTACGAGCTGATGAAGATGGGGGAGATCGTCACCCGTGATGGGTGGGATGGCGTGAAGAGCGGCCTGACTGCCAAGGTTCTCTACTCTGCAGAGGATGAAGAGGAGTTGGCCCCTCCATCAGCTGAAAAAAGCTGCCACTGCTGACTGAGAAGTCTTTGTGTTCCGACACTATCCTATCACACCAAGAGCTCACTTTGTCTCACAGCCGATCATCAAAACAAAATCACTGAGGCTTAGCACCCTGTGATATCACCATCCATCACTTCCTCACCTTGTGTTTTGTGCCCTCTCTGTGTTGATTTTTCAGACCACTGGGATTATTTTCAATCAGGATGCGAGAGTAAATACCAATGTGTACCTGTTGGGAAAGTATTGTATTGTTCATTTGATATGATGTAGCATGAGTCGAGCTGTTTTGAGCCTCATCTTGCTCAAGAAAAAAAAAAAAGAAAGCATGCCAATGTGATCAGGTGTTGTTGCTTAAAGTGTAGCCAGTACTCCTTTTCATAGCAATGGAGCTAAAGGACTACTGAGCATAAGAAAGTACAAATGGACTATTATGGTCTGGCATCATCCACATTTCATATGGTACTATTATGGGTTTCTACTTGTCAAATGTTTGTGCAATGCTTTGCCTGCAGTCTTAAGTGGCTGTAACATTGTAAATAATAGTTAAATCTATAAAGATGAGAGCTAAAGGTGACTGAAAGCTATTTAATTCATAGTGTGAACAGTGCACTCTGCAATAAGTGTCACCATATTAAATCAATGTGCTCCTCCTGCTACTGTAAGCTGTGTGTGCACTTATGCCAAATTGACCTTTGACCATTCTGTGAATAGATTAATAATGGGTTTTTTTGTAAAAAGGTAGAGATTATTTGTTGTAAAAGTGTATACATAAACATAGATTATTGTAATTAGACTAAGTGTAACATACAACATTCACAATAGCAGTAAGTGGCAATGTGAGAAAAGGAAGTTTAAGGTCTAAATATGCCCCATTGATATAGACATAGACGATATGCACAGCAAAAGCTAATGAGCTTTGATATGTTTATTGCAGGCCTCTAAACTGGCTTTAATTCAGCTTATCTGGGCCATCAGCCCAACAAATGTCATGTCATGAAACCATGACAAAGGATTTAGCTGCATTTTCTGCCTTTTTTGCTTTCATTTTCTTTTTGCTGTACAAATGAACCTGATAAAAATTATTTGTAGGGCCTTAAAAGTGCTTAGAGAATTAGAGAAAAGCTCTAGCTTAGCTTAGCATAAAGAATTGAGAGTAGTAACATGTTTAAGCAAATTAATTTTATGTTTACATTCATGGTTGCCAAAGTGCGGCCTGTGGGACAGTGGTGGCCCTTGGTAATGTTCTGTGGCTGGATCAAAACAGAATCAAACAAAGGGAGCATTTGTTGTCTGTTTTTGTTCTGGACAGCCATATAAAACACAGTTAAAGTTGTCAAAAAATGTAACAGACAAAATTTCAATTAACAACTTATAACCCCTCCCTCTGAACACCAACTAAAAGGTTTTGTGTGTATTTTTCCTGTACCTGTATCACTTGCCTACTGGTTCCCTAAACTGGCACTTTCTTGTTTAAACCATGTCTGAAAAGCCACTAAAACATGTAGTTACCAAGTTTATCTATTACTCTTCAACAGCTGGAGGCACTCAACCAGTTAAGTTGTTAATACGCAACTGTTTTCCAAAGTCACTAATGTAAGTGTTCTGTTGTTATTGTGTTTTTTATGATGTTTTTAGACCTGTTATATAAATGTGACAAAGGAATTTCCCATTATTAATTTTCTCACGCTGATTTTACGCACATAAATACAATTCTAAAACAACAGTTCGGAGCTGCAGTATACCTACACCCAAAGTCACTAAAATTCCTTGTTAGCTAACAAATGTGATCAAATCTTTGTTGTGACTTTAGTTTTTCTTTGCTGGCTGGAGACACTCAAAAACTCTCTCCAGAATCCCTGCTAAATTATTAATAAGAAAAAATGATGATTTAGACTTTTTTAAACCGCAGATTCAACAAGGAAGATAAGCTGTGGATTTTAGAGGCGCTAGTATCGCTAGCTATTGTGATAGCTGTCACTCCTGCTTCCAGTCTTCATGCTGAGTTAGCCTAGTTTGCCTCTTTGCCCCCCACATATCAGTATCTTTTCAGCAAAATCCTAAAGAATATTAAATGTTTTTTGTTTTTTTAAGGGCTACAGTAGTAGACTATTTTATTTTAGACCTGTTATATAAGTATAACAGAAGAAATCCCTTTTATCAGTGTTCAAAAGCAGAATTTTTACCAACCTATATATAATTAAGAAGCGCAAGTTAATCTTGCTCACATTGTTTGTTAACTAACTAATGTACTGTAGATTTTATTCAGCTGTAATGGAGAATGATTGGGTGTCTGCACACATGACTTCCAAAACCTGCAGTGAATACCTTTAACAAAGACGATCATGAATTCCTTTAAGGCTCTAGAGGCTAATAATTTGCTGCTTACAAGCCTGGATCTTGTTGCGTACAGTTTGCTTTCCCTGGGGCTTCTACAACACACACTACACTGTAAACAGCAAGAAAATATATGCATTCTAATGTTTTTACTTAGCATTCATGTGACCAGTCTGACACTTCTTTTTCATTTGTCTGAACCAGTTAATAAAATGTACATCATGTGGTTGCAGCTTAGTGTTTGACAAGGAATGTATTCTAACTCATTTCTGCAATCCCTTTTCATTTTTCATTTATTGTTTTGCACTAATTCAAACTGCATTTTTTTCCCCTGGTGAAAGTCTGTGATTGTTTGACAATCAAATGTTATCATTTTGAGTTCTTGGTATAGGTGAGGAATGCAATGTTGGGGTGGCGAGCCTTGAAATCGTGCTGAATGAAAACCAACCAGTCTGTACAACTACCTTTCTCACTTTTGCCTCTAAGGGTTACATTGTATTGTATGATACTGTGTGTTAGCACTGTGCTGTGAGCATTACTGACGACTACAGACTCTTGTAGTCGGGAGGAAAACACTGGAAAGACAGGAAGAAGTATTATTTTGAAAGATTGAATCTATGGGATAAAAAGACCAATTGAAAACTTATATATATAAATCAACAACAGCACAAAAACTATGATTCATTTCCATCTTATTTGTAATCTTACAAGCTATACCAATACATCTGCAGTGACTGTAAGTAGTAATATTACTACAATGAAGGTGAATGACTAACTTTCAGTCCAACTCTAGCTTCTCTCTGTGTTCTTTGAAAACAATTTGTGGAAACATTCTTATTTGCTTTCTTTCCAATCTCTCTTTCCCAGTGAGATGACAAGACTGATGCGACATTATCTTCTAGTGTTCTGGAGTTAGGAGGCAGTTAGCATAGCTTAGGATAATGACTGCCTCCATCTGACTTATTTCAACAAATGAACTGCAAAAACACCAAGCAGTGAACACTTCTGACCAAACAGACTTCATAGTTTGAAGACATTAAGCTGAATCGTGTAGCAGACACGCACTTAGTTTACAAAATCTTAATTTTTGTCTTTGACTTTTTCCAAACCCCAAAAAATGATTTAAATATTGAACTTTTGGTGCCAACCTAACGTGTTCCAGGGGATGCACATGTAGACAAATAATCTTTAATTATTTTATCTTCAAATAGATATATTTCATTCTGCCAGTTTTGTTGAATGTATGATTTAAATGTAGCTTTGCTGTAAAACACATACTTCCTATCGTTCCTTAAGCATCACTAGTTTATTGGTTTAGTATCACTTTTTACTATATTACACTTGGATTCAGCTTCAGCATTATTTGTATGATATAATAAACTGAAATCCAAAGCTATTCTAGCATCTTTTTTAACGGTAGCTCTATTCAGTTTATGAAAACCTGTGTTACTAGTTTGTCTTGCTTTACAAACTGTGCATACCCTTGGCTGTGCTGTTTAACTCCTGTTTACTTTCCACAAAGTATTTTTATGTTTAAACATATCACCAAAATTCTGTTTAATTTTTCTATATAGGAACATAAATAGTAGAAGATCATTATTCACTTCTGGCCCAATAATTTAGCTTCATAAAGTTCACCAATATGTAAATGTTTCAGTTTGTATATGTAAGTGGAGTTATCGTTCTGGAACTATTTTTTGGTCAATCAAGCCAAAACCTAACATTTTTATATTTTAGTTTGTGAGCAGCTTTTTGGAATACAATATAAAGAGTAACTTTTTGAGCTAACAGCATGGCAGTTCTATCTCTTTACTGACCACAGAGAATGTGTATATCTGTGCTTTAGACTTTAACACCTGTAGAAAGAAAAGGAAAAAAAGAAAATAACCTTCTTTTCTCCAGTACACATTTTTCTTCTAACTGACTTAACCACTGCTGCTTTCTCTCTCTCTTGTCCCTCAAACTGGGCTTTAGAATCAGTAACCAACTATTTCCATGGAACATAATAAATAAACATCTATTGCCAAGAGGAGCCAGAGGTGACCAACAGCATGAAATGCTCCAAATATTCTATTTAACCAATCAGAAATGTCCTGCTCTAAAAGCCCGACCTCCTTGCAGCCCACTGAAACTTTGAAAAGTACTACCAAAGCTTTTTACATGACTCTGTGTATGGACTTTTTGGTCGGTCAAATAATTCTTCCCTTTTCCTTACTTTGACAACATAGCAAGTCCATCCAAAGGTCATAGTCACTGTTGTTCCTGTTGTGGAAAAGCAGCTATTGATACCAATTATCTCTCGTCAGTCTTAAAAAGAAAACAAATAAGAACATTTAAAAAAAAAGACAGAAAAAAGAAACAAATCACCCATGTAATTAATAGTGTCATATCCAGTGAACTGATCAAAATAATCACAGGTAGGGTTTCTCTACCATGTAACATCAACAGTACAGCTTCTGATCCCCTGATGGTCATGTTCCACAGTATTACTAAATAAATGTTATTTATTTTTATGTTATGTATAAGGGATATTGGTTATTAAATGAATAAATAGATGTACGTTGAATATTGTTTGGACTGGATGGTCTTCTTAAAAAAGATTTGGCGCCCTCTTCTGACAGATTTAAGAACCATCATCGTTGTCTGGATTTGATTAATTTATGGTAGTTAGGGTAAAAATTTGGACAAATGTTGTTGGTGAGGTCGAGCCAAACCAAGAATTAGGACCTGTATTACACTAGGTTAGCTTTAGAATATTACTGATGCCTCAGCAGATGTATTTTCTTCAGCTATGAGAACATCATAAAAGATCATTGCAATACTTAAATGTATATGATCGTATATGCTACTATTCAGATAACTTAGTAAAGGTCCTCAAGTTGTGCCTGGGAATCTGAGCAACAGAGAACACGAACACCGCACACACACACCACAGTATTATGATCTTTCTATTGATGTGTAATTCACTTTTAATTCAGCGTAAACAGCATATGATAAAATTAAATATAACAAAGTTTTATTTTTCAATTAAATTCGGTAATCTATGTAAGGCTCACGGAGAGGTCGAAAAACTGTCAAGATTTTGTAATCGCTCTTGAAAGAATCTCACAAAATCTCACGATTACGATTGTAACCATGTCATTGACTTTCCCACATTGCATGAATGCAACATTAATGCGAGTGCATGTAGCACCCAATGGCAGCATTCAATGTCAATTGCCCCGCCCTTTTTACCCATCATGCTTTTCGGTGTCCAAAACTAAATAGCCAAATACGGTCAAGTTTTTATTCCCGTTGACTATATAAATATAGAAATGAAAGATAAAGGGCTGATTTGTCGTGTTTAGTTATACAAAATATTGTGAAAGTTTTCTGTGCCGACTTGAGGTTTATACATCATGAACCCTGAGTGAAGAACAGGTTACCTCTGGTGAGGTCGCAGGATGTCCGACGTAGCTGTTAAAAAGGGCTTCTGCCATGTTTGGCACAGGAGAGGTGGGGTCTCCACTTCTTTTGCGGAATCGCCATCAAGAGATTTCGGAAGCATAATTTTTACTTCTGGGGCTGCCGATGATCACATGTCTTGGCGCCCCAATATCTATTGTAAACAGGAAAGCCAACCATGTTGGAATACACATAGCTCCCGCGTTGCAGAAATAAGCATTTGTCTTCTTAAGTTTAATGCAAGTATGATAGTACCAATATGATCTATGTAGAGTACACACTATTATAAATTAACATACAAGTCTTTGAGATATGACCAGATAAAACATATATCAAGGTAATACCCACTTATTCTCGCCTGCATATATAGGTTCGCCAATAAGGAGTCACAGTGGTGGTTAAAAACCTGCGGTTTACACAGGGTTTACACGAGAGTGAAAACAGGGCGAGCGCTGTTCAGCAGGAAGTCGAACTATAGCTACTGAGTGCGCATGCTCCGCAGCTCTCCTCTATCTAGGGATGCGTTTGTCTTCTTAAAACGGTAAGAACGAGCTATTTTTTTTACTGTGTGTTTTTAAATATACACAACTGTAAAATAGCGACCGCTCTCACCACACAAGCTGTAGTTTTAGCTGGGTGGTTTGGGTACATTGCGGAGGGGGTTCAGTCAGCCAGGCTCGAACTGAATGGAGGGGCAACGCCGTCGCCGTGCCGTTGTTTGCTGTACGTGCCGCCGCACAGGGAGACGTCATTTTGAGGGGGAGCGGAGAGTTAAAATGCAGAGTTACGAAGGGACGTACGGTTCATAGACAAGCGGCACGTAGCCGTCACACTGTAAATGCAAAGCTTTACCCGTCTCGGGCAGTGGAGTTCACGCTATTGTTTGGATTCCCACACATCAAGTTACGCCCTTGTGTTAGCAGTAATGGCTACCGCCGAGCCTGGTCTGAGGAGCTCCGACAGCGAAAAGTAGTCAGCTGGCTAGTGCGGTAGTGATAACCAAGCCAACTTAATAAAAGTAATTTATCTGCAGCAAAACGTAAAGGTGTACTTTTAATTGAGC